TCTTTCCGCCATTCATGCTACGTAGCTACAAAAACACATAAGTGTAAATTAAGATATATGCAAGCATATAATGCAAAACACTACATTTGTGTACATACACTAAATCAGCGATACTAACGCCTCCGATGCTCGAGTAGACTGACCTTGGGCGCGCTGTGAAGCTAAAGGTCTCCCCCACTAACCCAACCGGTTCCAGCGCGCTCCGACCGTAGGAACGCGGGAAAGAAACATATTTCATGACTTTTGGGACACACCTTGTAGAGGCATCACCAGCAACTTATGCTACGCTACATAATATAATAAGAGCTTTATACAGTCATCGCCTTAGAGTAAATCCATTTGAATGTACCTCGTGCTTTATGTTGCAAAGAAGAAACACAGCCATCTTACGGCACAGAAGCTCAGATCACGACGTGCTTAGTTTGTTACAAACAGCTCTCACTCCAGGCCGTGACTTGCTAACTTCACACCATAACACCAGGTGTTCTGAAGGCACCGTTACTCTGCTAATGACATCCTTATTCATTACGCTACGACACCAGCTGCACCGAGTTCACAGCAGAGAGACTTGTGAGAATCTCTTGATCCCATTTGTCTTGTTTCATTCCCAAATATTCCTCCAAAAAATAGTAGCCCTACACACCCCCATATTCTGCTTGTTAACGTCTTACTTCCTCTGCAGGGTTCAATGCGGCATGTATTCTTATGCTCATAATCTACGCTATTCAGCCCGATATTTTCTCAGGTCGTCTGCAAGGCTGAGTCCGAAATTCCCTCAGTCCCTTTTCCGGGCTCTGCGACATTTCCTCATATCCTCTGCACAATTCTGCCAGATATTCCGTCAGTTCTATCGGGCACAATTCGATTTTCCCTTAGGTCTTCTGCTATTTCAATCCCATATTAGCCTATATGCAGACGTCAGTCAAATACTCCCTCAGCTCCCGTAAACTGAGTTCACTATTCCCCGAGGCCTTTATCACGCTCAGGTCGACGTTACCTCAGGGACTTTGCGAGGTTTAGTCTGATAATGCCTCAGGCGTTCTGTAAAGTTCAGTCTGATATTCCTTCCTGCACTATATCACACTCAGTTCGACGTTACCTCAGGGACTTTGCGAGGTTCAGTCTGATAATGCCTCAGGTGTTCTGTAAAGTTCAGTCTGATATTCACTCATGCACTAAATCACACTCAGTTCGAGGTTACCTCAGGTTCTTTGCGAGGTTCAGTCTGATAATGCCTCAGGCGTTCTGTAAAGTTCAGTCTGATATTCCTTCCTGCACTATATCACACTCAGTTCGAGGTTACCTCAGGTTCTTTGCGAGGTTCAGTCTGATAATGCCTCAGGCGTTCTGTAAAGTTCAGTCTGATATTCCTTCCTGCACTATATCACACTCAGTTCGAGGTTACCTCAGGTTCTTTGCGAGGTTCAGTCTGATAATGCCTCAGGCGTTCTGTAAAGTTCAGTCTGATATTCCTTCCTGCACTATATCACACTCAGTTCGACGTTACCTCAGGTCCTTTGCGGGGTTCAGTCCGATAATGCCTCAGATGCTCTGTAGAGTCCGATATTCCCGTAGGTTCTCCGTTGGACTCAAAGCGACATCACTTCAGGTCTCTATAGAGATCAATGTGCTATTCCTTCAGCCTCTTCCCGAGCATCAGTCTTTCTGCATTGCATTCATATGGGAGTTCATGTGCGTGACAGTTTCTCGCCAGTTAAAAATAAAAGCAAAGCGTCTGCCCGTCAGAGACCGATTTTTCAATCCAATTTCCAATTCAGTTGGACGGCTCTGAAATGGAACAAATTAATTTCGCCATGGAGGTGTGTGACATTCATGTATACGGACCTCAACAGGTTACATTTAAGCACGCATTGTTCTCTCTTCACATGTACGGCTCTGCTTGGCACTGCAGATATAGCTATAACACTAAAATAAGGTTCCCTGTTAATGAGGCAGCGCCATAGCTCAAGCGGTTAGTCGCCGGCTTCCCACCGCGTCGCCCCGGGTTCGATCCCGGGTATGGTCAAATGGGATGTGTGGTGGACAAAGTGGCGCTAGGGAGGGTTTTCTGTGAGTACTTCTGTTTCTCCTGCCAATCTTCATTCCACCAAATTCTCCATCATCATAATCACCCGGGGCGGGCTTCAATAGGCCAATCAGTGGCCGCCGTGCAAAGTGGACCCAGCTGGACTCCACCCCCCACTAAGCGAATTAAAAAAAAATCTCTGTTAATACTTCTATCGGCCGATCACAAGTTGCAGTTTGGTGTGCAGAAGTTTTGCTCCCGGGGCGAACGTCAAATGACTCCAACTAAATTACCTTATTACTATTCATGACGAACCAAACTCATTATTATCCGCAAGCGAACTATACCGACCGAGCTACCGCCGATGTTGGCGAAGTTAGTGCCAACTTTTCCAGATAGAGGGTGTCAGCGCAACGGATCCCCAAGGCGGGCATTTCCTAGGCCTTTTTTGTATTTACAATATTTTTTTTCTACAATAAAAAGAGATTCCCAAGGACGTTGATTTCGGTTTTCTAGACCGGAGCCGCTATTTCCTTGAAATAGCTCCTCAATTATCCTCACGAGGCTGAGTGGACAGCATTCCAGATTCACTACTTCTCAGAAAATCTGGTAGCGTCGGGAATCGAACCCGGACCCCTGGAACCGTAGCCAGGAACTCTGACCACTAGACCTCAGAATTACGAACGTAAATGCTATGATAATGAGAATTTAGATTCCTTGTCCTTTTTACGATGAGGCAATGCTGATCTCTATATACAGTGAGAATCAGAATGCTTCTCCTTGCATGTCCTTTCACCTTTAAATGCTGTCTGTTGCTTGCTCAGCTGCAATTCTGTAATGACTAATCAAGTGCCCTCCACCAACAACGGATCCGCTCAAGACCGCTTCAGTCGGCCTGTTCGGAGAGCTAAATTAGATCGTTATTAGATTTGTGGGAGCCGTCACGTGACTTCGAGTGCTCACTGTCCGACTTTATTACTTTCAGAGAATTAACAAAGCATTTTCTTATTCTGCTACAGTGACTTGTCAAATGATACCGGTCACTACAGATGGTTCTTGCTGTGGGATTCAAGTTCACTCCTCTAAAGATAATTTTGTCTCAAACAAGACAATAAATTAAATAATCTATCCCTGTAACAAGCCGTGAAGGCCCATAGGGTTGTGAGATGTTGAGGTTCCCACATTTTCTAGACAATCGGTTCACAGATGGCGGCAAGGTTGTTAGCCCTACGCGCCGGCTGCCCTTTACCCCAAAGAAGATTCCTGGTACTCATTTCTGTTAGAGGCTGAGTCGAGCTCAGGGCCATAGTGCGGCTCGAAGGATTAGGTCAATTGGAAAAAATCCAATGACCTCATCGGGACCTGAACCCGCGACCTTCAAGCTTGTAGCATAGNATTCTTATTTTAATAAATATAAATATATACCGCATGTGATATGATTCTGAAATTGTTGCTTTAATTCTAATATATTCTAATATAATATATGGAATGTGTTAATGCATAGAAACTTCGGGATATGGAATTGATTTTTGTTGAACTTATTACTTGTTTAAGTGATTATTACATTGTATAAGATTTGAGGTTTTCACAGCGCTGACTATGAAGAATGTCATCTGGGGTGTGGCGCCGTGGGCAACAGTGATACTGGAGAGTCTGAAAATCACTAATATTATAATAATTATTAGTAGTTACGACTTGTGAACATCCAATAAATCGACTCACCGATCCAAACCCTCGTCTTTAGTCACTGTGACACTTAAAAATACGTAGAAATTTATTCCGCTTTGAACTGCAGCGTGTTCTGCTGCTGTCAGCGCGTAAGGCTGACAACCTCACCGCCATCTGTGAGCCGATTTTATAGAAAATGTGGTAACCTCGACATCTCACAACCTTATGCGCCTCTGCGCCCTGTTACAGGGGTAGCTTCACCCATATTATTATTATTATTATTATTATTATTATTATTATTATTATTAACGAATTTACTTTTATTACCGTAGTTACTTTTATATAGGAGTATTTTAAATATACCGCCTCTACGGTCTAGTGGTCAGCGTTACTGGCTACAGATCCAGAGGTCCGAGTTCGATTCCCGGCGCTACAAGATTTTCTGAGAAGAAGTGGGTCTGGAACGGGGTCCTCTGCCTCGTGATGATAATTGTGGAGCTTTTTCAAGGAAACAGCGCCTCCGGTCTAGAAAACCGAAATTAAAGGCCATGGCGTTTCGTTGCTCTCACAACGCGATACCTTCTATCCGACAAAGTTGGCACTAAACTTCGCCGACAAGCGGCGGTCGCTCGCTCGGTATAGTTCGCTTGCGGACTAAAGTCACGGAGTTTTTATTTTAAATATATTGCCTGTGCAAGTATATAATTTGTGATAATAAGCGCAACTTTTCTGCGTGTGAGCACGTGTATTCAAGATACTGACGACTATACACTGGCACAGTGTTTAATGACGTTTGCAAGTCCTTGCGTTTAGTTAGTGCTGTGTAATTGAGCTGTAAGTGATGAGTGATACGTGGAATAAGCTGCGTTGCATCTCAGCGAATTATCACATTCTCCAAAAGGAACTCTCATTACAGATACTCGTACATCTAATTCTATTTCTCAGGCGCTTAGACTTTATTTAAACGGAATTCTAATATCGTTTTAATTGCCTTACTGTGTTGCAACATATTTGAATACTAATTTAATATGGCAGTCAGGACACTCCACATGGCTGTAACTTATTTCCCGTTGCTCTACATGACTACGGAATTGTACGAATATTATATATATTTACCAGGAGTTGTCCTGGATTCAACGTAAAAGTATTATATACATTAAAACACCTGGTGCTTGCATAATTAGCTATAAGCTCGCGTGTTTAAATGCCTAACTTCTCTAAACACGTGTCCTGAATATGAAGCACCTGTAAAACATTGCGCTCACAAACACTTGTGACGTTCATATTTCAAGGCGATGTTACTTACCACACTTCAGAGAAGGGTGCTTCTACAGCTTCCATTTAAAGGGACACTGGAAAGAAAATACGCAAATAAATTAGTACAAAGAAGAGACAGTAAATAGGTCATAAATTACTACAAAACGTAAAACATGTTGTATTTGAACCAGGGGAAAAATTTATTTCTCAACATATCCTCTACTAACAATCGCAACACTTGTCACATCGTTTAACCAGTGGGTCGAAACTCAAAGCACAGAAGTCCTCTGATTTTTGTCTCAGCCATTTCCGCATCTCAGTTCCAACGTCGTCATCAACGAAACGTTTGCCACCAAGTGGGAACTATTTTACGCGACAAACATTTCACAATATAAGAGGAAACATTTCTTTATGAATATTCTTTGCGCTGATTCCTTTTGCCCATAAAAAAAGCACAACAGAACGCGGTTCTTCCATAATAAACTCCTCAAGCACACTCGCCATATTTACTACTGAAACCATCCTCTGAACATGCGCATGCGCGTCTGCTACCCAGACTGTCATTAAGCTGGATTCTGCTACTACATATTGATACGCATAGGAAACCTATTATATCAATTACAGCTGTTTGATTTCAATGTCTGTCATATTTACTGACTTTCTCTCGTACTTAAGTATAGGTAAATATAAGGCTGGGAAGTCCTTGATGAGCTTTGCAAAGAGAACCCTTCATTCATTCATTCATTATTGGAGGGGGTGGGTTTCCCCATGCACCGCGACCAGTTGTCTATCTATTGTACGTCCCTCTTTGATATTCTACCAGTCGCCATACCCTTCCGGTACTGTGCTTGGTATCATCCCCGTTCAGCCAGCGAGTTCGGCCCCTCTACTGGCAGTGGTACCCGATACTTCCCCCATCTACCGGAGGAAGAGAACCCTTAGTTCCTCATAAAAAATTTCCTTTTCATAGAATTATTTAAATAGGAAGAAATGTATTTTGTATTCTAAAACTGTTGCTTGAACGCAGTGAATTTCTTTGCTACAAAACCTCCAGTTTCAAGACGACTAACAGACTACAAATTCCAGTCATTTGAGAGGACCTCAGTCAGCTTCCCCCACGATCATCGTTCATAACTTAGCTTCTGAGGACCCTATTACGTATTTTTATTCCATCGCAACAACGCATAAATGAACAACTGAAGACACTACTTTATCGATCAAATCAGATTATTTACTAATAATACACCTACAAATTATACGTGTATGTTTTGATCACACATGGCCATCATGTGTCAACGTATGTTATTGTATTGCTTTTTTACAATGGCTCCATTGCACATAGTCCCGTCATGCACACACTTCTTACAGATTACAGTACTATAAATCAACATTCATCCAACTTTAAAGTTTTCCTACCACATCCGTCTCACTATTTCTAAATGCTATTTTACAGGAGACACTAAATTTCTGTATACAGTCTTTGCTTTCACCATTTGAAGAGCATGTCTGTCAGTCGGATCTCTTTGACTGTGGCCCTGAAAATAGCAGATGATTTATATAAATCATAAATTTCGTCGCTGTGTGGAATAATGTTCTCTCTGTTACGTCACGTTCCTTGCCCCGAAATATTTTACGCTTATGAACATTCCTGTCTTCTGAGATATAACGCCTTGTATTTCGTCTGTTGACTTTCACAGGGCCACATAGCTTTATATCCCAAAATATAGAATCCTTCATAATCAATATTGTGAAATTCTCAAACCATAATTTTAAGTGTATGTTTAAAATACATTAAATTAATGTTCCTGAAACAGCCTACAACGTTTCTTACTCACATAAAATTATGTTTTAAACAAGGTTTCGTTTTGTTATAGTCGTTCCCAAATATCTGAAAACATAAGTCATACAGGATAACAAAAATTAGGTCTATTATAAATATTTATACCTGTATATGAATATCTGGAAAGCAGACGATGTGGTAACGGTTTTGGTAAATTCGAAGCGAGAAGTTTCAATATTACGTCATGTCTACTTATCTCTGCGCGTAACGCAAAACCGCGGCCTGGGCTATCATGAAATCTGAATATGAAAACTTGTAACAATATATTTCCATAAAATTCACTTTTCTTTAAAGTCGGCTACAATAATTAGCTTAGCAGTCTTCATGTTTCTCTGCGAGAAACTAAAGCCAAAATTACTCGGAAGAAAGTAGAAATTAATGAAACATAAATTACGCACCGGGGTCACGCGGTACCGTAGTTCGTTGAGCCACTGTGCTATCCTTCCAGCCTCGCTATGGCCCTGGGGTCGACTCAGACTCTAACAGAAATGAGTACCAGGAATCTTCCTGGGAGTAAAGGGCGGCCGGCACTTAAGGCTAACAATCTCACCGCCATCTATATGGGAACTTAGTCGTCTCACAAGTCTCTGGGCTTCCACGGCTTGTTACAGGGATAGATTTACATTATTTCCCTTCAATTTTAATTTCCTTTATTTTTGATATTCGAGAAAATATTTCGTGTACCTATTTCTTGAATCGGAAATTGAAGTAAAGATTTATCTCAACACGAAATTAAAACTTTTTTTTTCTTCTTGTAATTGAGGTGTAATATTTGTGACTGTGAAGAATAGAAACTGAGAACTGAGAATTCAGTGACTAACGGTCAGTCAGTCAGTAAGTCTTGGTGTCGAGCCCCATCTGGGGATCATGACCAGATATTTATTACTGTGTGACAGTTACGGTCTTGTTCTTGTGGGGCACACTCTCTGACGAGAAGACGAGTCTGTCTTTTGTACATGATGCTGGACCTTGCCAGCGCAGTCTTTCAAGGGTCCGAGTCCCTTGGGACTAGAGACCATATTTTACTTTCAGATTTTAGTCTTCCCTTTTCGTCGCCTCCTACGACTACTGAACTGTAGTGCTGTTTGTTTTTAAGCTATCTCCTTTGCACGGACCCCATGGAAAACATAGCCTATATTGTTGAAAAGCGTTTCCCGAACCACTGCATAGCAACGGCCGCGGCGCGGACCCCAAGGAAAAAAGTATTTTTTAGGTTTCTTTACTGAGCCGTTGTTTAGCAAACTTATGGTCATCCACGTTACAATATACTGAGAAGCCTAGTTAAGATCGTTTTCCTTCACAGTACGTCGCCTGTAATGTATACTTCCTGCATTTTTTGGTGGAAGCTGGGTTGTCGTGTTGTGTTTTATTCAACTGAGCGTTGTTTCGTTTCATTGAATTTAATCATAATTTTACTTATATGTTATAGGATGCAACGGTGAGCAATATAAAATGTAAAATTTGTATCTTCTTTACTTCCAAACATTTTAGCCTTCCGTAATAAAATTTGCTGCTATCCCAGTATCCATCTTAAACTACTTCCCATTTGTAACATTTTTTCTACACACGCAACTTAGCCATTATCCTTCACGAGATGTGAGAAGAAAACTCCTCAGGTAATACTTTTTTCCCTCATTATCCGCCATTCTGCAAGCGTCACTCCTTTATTTGGAACTGCTAATGATTATTGCTGCAAGAACTTGTACGATACGGATCTCATGTGCGGTTGATTCTGTACACATCAGTTAAACAATAACCTATGTTATCATTAGTGCTTCCATCTATTGGTGTTAGCTCGAAACCGTCCCAACAGCCGCTACTCAGATTTTATGAGAGTACTTCAAGGGAACATGGTAAAATTCGCTTAGTGGGGGGTGGAGTCCAACTGGGTCCACTCGGCACGGCGGCCACTGATTGATCTGCCTGCCCCGGGCGATTATGATGGAGAATTTGGTGGAATGAAGATTGGCAGGGGAAACAGAAGTACTCGGAGAACCCCCGCCCCAGCGCCACTTTTTCCACCACAAATCCCACTTGACCAGACCCGGAATCGAACCCGGGCCGCCACGGCGGGAAGCCAGCGACTAACCGCTTGAGCTATAGCGCGGCTCAAGAGGCGTGGGAAGAGAGTTCGCCAAAATATAATTTCTGTTTCATATTTGTTAATTTTGGTAGTCAACGGTGTTATTTATTATAACAAATTATCATACATCGGCGTTAGAAAAATATTTATCTCCGTAAGAGGCCGCGGGGGCTCATGAGATTGTGAGATGTCGAGGTCCTCACATTTTCTAGACGATCGGCTCACAGAGAGCGGTGAGGTTCTCAACCTTACGCCCCGGCCGCCCTTTACCCCCAACAAGATTCCTGGTATTCGTTTCTGTTAGAGGCTGAGTCTACCCCAGGGCCATATGATTTGACCTGGGATCGAACCCGGGCCGCCGCGGTGGGAAGCCAGCAACTAACCGCTTGAGCTATGGCACGGCCCATCTGGAATATAACTTAGAATTATGACTTTTATTATTATTATTATTATTATTATTATTATTATTATTAGAGGGGGTGGGTTTCCCCATGTACTTAGACCAGTTATTGGTCCATGATGCGTCCCCCTTTAATTTCTACTGTCGCCATACCCTAGCGGTACTGGTGCGTGCTATCAGCCCCGTTCAGCCAACGAGGTCGGCCGTCAGTACCTGATATTTCCCCCATCTACCAGAGGCATTGGATAAAGGTAAAACCCTGGAAATAATTTATTAAGCACCACATCACGAAGACATATGGAGTAGTGTAGGTATATCTCTACCATTCTTAACATTGGCACCAGGTGGAGGTGAGTTTTAGTTCGCTTTAGCTCCATGGAAACACTCCGCAGTTGAAAGGCACATTTACACCGCTTCCTTTCAGATCCTCCGATTCATTATTTAGTAATCATTCTAACTTTCGATGTTATGGAGGTGGAGCCAAAAACAGCCATCCACTTTTGCTTAACAAGCCATAGAATCCTTAATACAAAATTAAACATAAAGAAGTCAAACAACCTTGGGAAACAATTTTTGTTACTCAATATACGTCTATATTTATACACTCGCTTTAGATCGTAGAACCATTAGCCTCCATTAAAGGATCGCCCAAAGGCAATATTTACGCAGACAGAATGCGTAACAGTATTAGATGATGACGTAACAAGTGCAAGGCGTCCATTTTAACAAACAGTTCTCGATTCCACCAAAAGAGCGCGATAGCATCGATAGA